CAAGCCTCCCCGTCTTCCAGATTCCCTTTTAACGTTTTCACTGATAATTGAATACCTTTTTAAAAGAAAGTTAAGATACTGATCGGGTTCCTAAACTCTCTCGAGTCCTTCGCGAGCAGTTGTGAGCAGCCTCCGGGGCGCCTGGCACATCTGTGATACAGCCGAGAGGGTTTTCACATCGGGGCATTTTTGTTGTTGTTCCTTTTCTCTCTCTCTCCTTCCCCTTCCCACCCTCTGCTCCCTCTCCGTTAAATAATTCCCTTTGCAGAAGCCAGCAGCTCTCTTGTTCCAGGGACAAGGGGGGACTGGGACAGGAGGGGAGAGCCCTGGGCAAACCCCAGGCCAGGTATCCAAGGAGAGGGTGAAAGCAGGGACACACACACACACACACACACACACACACACAGTTCTTTCTGGAGCTTTTCCCTTCAGGAGGAGGAGAAGGGGCTGCCACCCGGGTGCTTACAGCTCCGGAGGGGCTGGTGCAGAATAAACCCTCCGTTTCTCGCTGGATAGCATTTCCTTTTTGCGGGGGGAGCGCATCGCTGGCCCTGAGTTTTGCTCCTCATCGAACGCCCTTTCTCCGCCCCAGGCGGAGAAAAAGGGTGGTTTTTTCTTTGTTTTACATCATTCTGCGACCGAATCTCCCCGACCTGTCCCCAGAACCGCCGGGGATGCAGCTCGAAATACAACACAAAGAGCTCGTGGAAAAGCCACGTTCAAACCCGTCGCCACCGGCAGCGGTTCTGCTGGGAAATCAAATATCTCGGAGCAAAACAAGGTCTCCAAAAATCAAACCCTTCCCCTTTCGAAGAATATCGGTCCCCTCACGAATGCCCTTTCCCGCCCTCGCAGTATCTTTTCGGAGTGTGAAGATTTGGCTTCCTATTTATTTATTACAGTCAGCAAACGTTAAAAATGGAAAGACATCGCCCCGGGTTGTCTAGGCCTCGCTGTGGGAATAGCAGAGACGCTGGAACGTTTTAAACCGAGCCCTTGAAGTGAGGAAAGAAGAGTTTTAGGCAGGAAAAGCCGGGCCGTGTCTGATGGAGGAGGGTGGTGACGGTGTGCGGGGCTGGACGGGCCGCGCCGGCCCCGGCGACGTGGGGAGAGGGAACCACGCCGGGAGGAGGGTTGGTGAGGACACCTTATTGCTTCTAAAACCTCATCCCAGGTCCTGGGAGCACTTCCAAAGTCAAAATGGGCCTGGGACGGGTTTTAGGAGGGGAGAGGACGGGAAATGTTGGGGGATGAAGGTGCGGGCTGAGCCCCGCAGATCCGCGGGACCCGCTTTAGCTGCGGTTTGCTGGTGCTTGGGGTGTTTTAACCAGGTCCTCCCCCAGCCCCCGGCGGGGCAGAGAGTCAGGGAAGGGAAGAAAAGAAGAAAAAACCACCTAGAGCCATTATCCCCGCTAATCCTTGCACCGTTCGGAGCCCGTTTTGCCGGCCCGACCCCGCGCATTCCCCGCTGCCACCCCCGGCCCCTCTGCGCTTCCCAAGCGGCTCCTTCCCAAACCCCTTCCCCTTCCCTCCCCCTCCCCGAAACCCGCCCGTGTTTTGTGTAAAAATAGACAAATCCGAGCTTTCTTCCTTTTCCTGCGCCGAAGGTATTTTTACTAGCTAATTGCTTAAGTGAAGTCAACTTTTGCAAGCAGGCCGGGTGTAATCCGAGTATGGAAATGTATATAGGTGCTATTGTTATAGGAGGGCTGGGTGCTGCTCGGAGAGGGGCCTGGGTGTTCCTGCGAGCCCGGACCACCCAGGGCGAGGGGAGTGACCGCCTCATATCCCCCTATCCCCCTCCCCACTACCCCTGCTTTGCATTAACACCACCCGCAAAACACCCCCCCGCCCCCTTCTCTCTCCCTCAGCCTTTTTTTTTTCCCCCCTCCGCCGGGTTTTCCCCTG